CGAGAGGGTTTCCCGGAGTTTGTGGGAGGTCCCGGTCCCTCAGGCGGGGCTGTTTCCGCGGTGTCTGTCCTGTTCGAACCAGTGACATGTTTAGGGGAGCCTCCCCACCTTCGCAGCCTCAATAAAGCCCGAGCAGCCTCGCGTGTTTCCCGGTGTCTCGGTCCATCCCAGTCACGGGATGTGCTCCGGTGCAGTGCCCCGTTTCCGCGGTCACCGCTGCCCTGGAGGTTTGGGTGTTCTCATCCCCCAGCGCAGCTGACCCATGGGCTGTTCTGGTGTTTGAACTCCCACCAGGTTCTTTACACCAATTATTCTCTCTGAAAGCCATTTTTTAAAACTTATACCAAAATTAGCAGCAGCGTTACCCTGTCTGAAGAAAAGCTGTGCTATGGGAACCTCTTCCCACCTGATTCCCCACACACCTGGTTTCCCTGCAGAGCTGGCCTGTACTCGAGCATCCCTCGATGACCTGTCACTCACCTGCCCACCTCCCTGCCTGTCCTAAACACAAAACCCCTCCTTAATCTTCTTACACCAAGTGGTGTCTGCCCTGCTTTGTGCTGCTCCGGGCTTTGGGGTGAGGACATCACCTCTGCCTTCCCATGGCTTCTGTCCCTTGCTCCAGCCCATGAGAGATATCTCAGGCTGCCCCAGGTGTGAGGCTGGTGCTGGCCAGGGCAGGGAGGAGATGATGGGCACATCTCTCCCCTGGTGTCTGTCAGCGGCAGCCTGGGCCCACGGCAGGAGAGGTTTTGGGTTCATGTCCCCAGGCTGTAGTGAGGATGATAATAACACAAATTACTCCAAGCACTCACTGTCCCTGCAGTCAGTACTGCTGTGCCCTTCAGCATCCACTGGAAATCAGATGTCACATCTTCAGGGTATGAATCTGCAGCGATTAGGAGGAGGAGGATGCTTTGCCCTGCCACACCTTGGGGGTAATCTCTCTGTCACTGCCTAGAGGGATGAGCTCATGGTGTGAGAGCTCCTCTTTTAGAGCTGCTTTCCTTCCAAAGCATGTTTATTTTGAACTTAAAATGAGATTACTGTTTCCATCCATTTCCAGCATTAACCCTTGGGTTGCTATTTTCTGTTTCCTCCCACCTGGCATTCTGCAGCACCGTTCCCATCACTGACAAGGCCCATGGACAGTGGGAGGCTGCTGGAGCAGCACCAGTGTCCAGAGGATCCTGATGTCCCCAACAGATCCAGCAGCAGCTCAGGTGTGGAGCTGCCACTCTGCTTTTCAGCTCTGTGGAGGGGAGCTATGTGCTCATGCCCAGGAGGATGGGCACCAGGGTGCGTGGCCAGGGCACTGTGGGTGCTGCCACAGGGCCGGTGCCCCTGGGAGAACTGACCCAGCCGTGTCCCCACTAGTTGCCCTCGTCTGGGTATTTTTAGCAGCAAAATGTTGTTTGGTTGTGAGAAGGAGGAGGGCGGCTGCGGGAGGGGAAGCTGGGTGGCTGTGATAGGGGAGCTCCTTCTGTGGGCAGTGCCTGAGCAGCTCCAGCCACCGGGGCCAGACCCCTCTGAGGGTCAGCACTGGGACCCATCCCATCCCATCCCATCCCATCCCATCCCATCCCATCCCATCCCATCCCATCCCATCCCATCCCATCC